CCCCAAAACCCCAAAACCCCAAAACCCCAGGGGCAGATCTAGATGTTGAATTACATCTAATTAAATTCATTAAAACCTTTGAATAATAAATCTAGTCATTCAAATTCAAGAAGAAGCTTAATAAGGATACATCATTGAGAAGGATGGGTGAGATTCTGTAAGAACCTTCTCATCACCACTATAAAGCTCTATTATTGCAGAGGGTCTTTCAAATTCGAATCAGGCTGCTATATCAATGGTCTCCATTGAAATACAGGGGCATCTGAATTCTAATTTATTGATGGTATAGTTGTTATCAAGTACTTGAAAGATAATCTTAGCAAGTTCATCATTATACAGATCCACCTCTAGTTCTCTAAGAGTAGAATTGCTCTGAAGGAACTTTGTAAAATAGCTAATTGTGCTATCACTAATGAAATTAACTTTTGATCTGAACTACATGAGTTTACATTCTAAAAGTTTATAGCTAAGTTACCCTGAAGGTTTTGAATGATTTCATTAATAGCTCATCTTCATACTCAAACTCCATGAAGATGGAATTAAGGTTCTGTTTATATTTCGAGCCTTTGGAGTTGCTTCTTTCTTCAGTCTTCAGAAACTGCAATGAGACTAATTGGTCTTTGAGAAGTTCAGTTATTTTAATTATCCGAAGTTTCTCAACTGGGAAAAATGTTTATTAATAAAATTTTAGAGAGGACAAAAATAGAGAATCCTTTTAATTAGATTTCTTAACGCCAGAAATCAATAATATTCAATCTTCTAAGAGAATATAGCTGAGGGATATTTGTGCTTTCAGATTGTACAGATAGGGGAGTCTTCATACATCTAAAATTTAGTCTTAATAAGCACTCACACCAATGTGGTACCAAGGTCTTGTCTGAGTGATCTTATTTCTTAAAATTATATTCTTAGATAATGATTTGAAAACTTTCTCTCCTACGTTCAGAATACACAGATCTCCTGGTTGGATACCCTTGAGCTTGCAAAGTTTCGCAATGGTTTTTAAATATTCTTTGTCATATTTCCGAAATATTCTTGAAAAAGAAATTTGAAACCTCGAATTTTAAAGCAAAAATTATAATTCCATTCTTCATTTAACTTCTACAATGTAAAATTGTCATTGCAAATTCTTTTTACCATCCTATTAAAGTTAGCAGTTTGCGAATTATTCTGTCTTATTACCAAAACATCTCCCACTTTATCTAGATAATTATATCAAAGGTATTGTTTATGCAGATAATCTTTTCTGCTCTTAGATCTCTTCTTGGGCATTTCGTTTGTTTCTAGTTAAGCCGGATTATTCCCCCAAAATAATAACATGATACAACAAAATGAGATTAAAATAAAAGAAGAATTATCAAAGATGGAGATTTCACACCAAAGTGTTTCGCTTCAAATAGTAAGAATTATCCTTGGAATTAATTATTAACTTTAATGGCAAATCTGGCATCCTGGTTATCGAATTCCAACAGATTCTCATATCTTTTTTTCCATCTGCCTGAAGATAGGGAATTAATCCTTCTGATGTTGAAATGCTCTGGTCCCCAACCTTGGGTGAATAAGTTGTTGTCTAAAAGTGGCTTTATTCCTTCACTCCCTAAAAATCTGATTATGTCCACATTTGGGAAATACAAGAGAATGGTATTCAGGTGGTTAAGATTCAGCCTTTCTTCTTGATCATTTGCATCTCCGAAATTATCAATGAAGTCAAAAGTAGTGCATTCAGTGTTGAAGAATAGGTCCAGCTCAGTTTTTTTTAGAGATATCTTGGAGCATACTGGAGCGGAGCTCTAAAATTTTAAAACTATAAGAAAGATTCTCTTCATATATGAAAGGAACATTTCTTAAGCTCATTAAATGCCATCTTTTAGTGTAATACATTAGTTTATGAGCGAAAGGAAAACGCTGATATACAAAAGGAACTGTTTCTTGAAATAACTTAAGCTTGAGTTCCTTTTTCAACATCCTTTTCTGTAAAATGAGAGGGCAATGCTTTTGAAAACTTCTAAATCTCAACCCATTTCTTGAAATTTGTTAATGAGTCTAAAAGTGTCCTCAAATGCATTCTTGGATTGAAGCTTAATTCACTCAAACAAATAGGTATTTTCAATCCCAAGTTCTAAATTTCTGTCTTGGACATGCCAAAGGAAGCAAGTTGTCTAATTTATGCCTGCTTGGTCAAATAAAGTCAATTTATATGCATAATAATTAAACTTATCACCCATTAAAATATAATCATAAACAGGTTTCATACAAGATTGTGTTATCTCCATGGTCTTCTTTGACTGACTATTATTTAGCACAATATTAAAAATAGCTTTCTGGTATTTTTTCCATTCCTCCCTACAAGCTCTTCACAGAAGCAGTAGCATTTCCGCTCATTCGTGTGCAAACCCATAATACCTCACAATATAACTAATGTATGTAACACTTGTCACACGCTTAGAATAATGTGGTACACCCCAAACCCTCCACATTTTTCATATTTTTTCTAAAATCCAAATTTTCAAATTTAAACAAAATTTTCGGGGTTTTGGGGTTTTGGGGTTTTGGGGTTTTGGGG